CTCCTCCTCCTCCTCCTCCTCCTCCCTAAGACACACACACAAGAAAAGTGACAAAGAGATCAGCTCCTTCTAGGACTACTTGGAAACTGGGTTTGAAGGAGGGTGGGTGCTCCGAGTCTGCGCACACACTTCCTGTGCTCGTTGGGTCTCCGGGGGGCCTCTCCCTCCCAGTGCTGCAGTTTTTAGGCGTGTCCGTCACTTTCATCGGGAGCTCGAAAATTGGGGACCTCGTGGCCACCGTGGGGTCCGGAGCCTGATGGAAGATGAGAATGTTAGCGATGGGGTGTAGATGACCAGCCTTGGAACCCATGCCCACACTGAACAATAAATGAACCGAACCCAGATCCGGGGAGCGCCTGGTGGGTGATTTTTAGATACTCATGTGGGAGGCACCCACGCACTTATGAGCCCTTTGTTCTGCCTTAGCCCCGCCCCTGGACCCCACCCTGGTTCTGACCGCTGGTCAGTCCAGACTGCGCAGCCAGCCCACCCAGCCCACCCACTCCCAAGGAACAAAAGCCACCCCGCGGGTGGTGGAGCCTTTGGGACTAGCCGAGGAGCTGTGGACTCTGGAGAGGGTCCGGCAGGGCTGGAGAAGCACAGAGGGTCGCAGCTCTGGATGCTGCAGCCCGTGAGAGGCTGCAAGAGGACCTTGTCAGAGACAAAGAGAACGGGCGGATGCTGGGGGCGGGGCGAAGGGCATCCTGGAGCTCCAGGGCCTCGGGTGTCCAGGGTCACGGCTCTTCAGACCCCAACACCCTGATCACATTCGACGTCCTCTTGCGGCCGCCTGTGCTTTCCCAAGGCTCCGAGCGACCAGGGCTCAGCTAGACAGTCGTTGACCTCTAGGGTGGGGAAAGGGCAATGGTCTTACGGGGGAGGGGGGAGGGGTGGTTTATGGACCTCTGGCCCCTGGAGGAGGAGGCGACCCAACCTGCGCTGGCAGCACAGCCTTCGCCACCTCAACCGTACCACCTGCCAGCACCCGGAGTGTACGGCGCTCCTTCCCGGCGCACCTGCGGGCCTCTCCACCTGCTCCAATCCTTTTGCGTCCCCTCCTCCCCCATCCAGTGCCAGCTCTGCCCCAGTCCCGGCCTGCCACACTCCGCGCCCTCGGTTCCTTCTCCCACCCCCAATTCTCAGAACCCAGCTATCTCCACCCCACCCCCAGCCCTGCACAATGAGCAGGCCCCCACCCTACTCCGCAGAGCCCCCGTTCCTCGCCCGGTCTGCAAACCTGTGCTGATTGGCTACGGGCCCATGGTCCAGCCCCCCGGACAGTCCCTGAGGCTTGGAGCATTACGTCAGCGGGGCCTGGAGAGTGCGAGCGCGAAGGGGACTGGGGGACTCGGGGGGGGGCGG